TTATCAGTTGGCACAGGTAGCAGTGTTTAAATGTGGCTTGAGGTAATTACATACATTCGATAGACATGTCTAGGTTGAAATATGTCAGTCATATTAGGTTTTACATCATCATCTTGATCATCATCAACATCATATAGATAGAGACTGAGAATGACAACAAGTGTATTTAAAAGAGAATGCAAAAGGTAAATTAGAAGGCAGGTAATGATAGGTTAGGTTAGCTGCGTATCCTTTACAGGACGTTGCAGAACCAACCATAAATGCCCTTGGCTGTTGTGTGGTTTTTCTAGGCAGATTTACCTCCAGTAGTTTGCAATTGCTTTCTGGACGGTGGCCTTTCTTGATGCCACTGTCGAAACCAACGCAAGACACATGGCCCGCAGCTGGAAAAGAACCCGGCATCCCGGCATTACGAAGCGTTCGCATCGACTTAGCCACAGATAGTGATAACAAGTGTATTTAAAAGAGAATGCGAAAGATAGAGATAAACAATTGGTAGTAATCGCCTCGTTGATATATCAAGTCTATAATTTGGTAGTCCATATATGTGTTTTTTACTACAGTTTTTCAAGTCTTGAGTTACCACAAATTATTTTATTTTCTAAGCATTTCATTCACCGCTTTTTTGTGTGTGTTTGTGTGTGTGGCAAGTAATGATAATCAGTGCCAGCATCTCCTTCTAGACAGCCGCCATAACCACCTAGGACTCTTCCTGTGTAACCCATTTAAGGTTGAGAGCCAAAGTAGTGTGTGAGTCCAGCACCATGCGTATCCGAACCCACCATATTCGAACGCTTCCTTACTATCTTCTGCTTTTTCAGCACTCCGATCTCCTGAGGTTCGTTGCTGCAGATATCACCTGCCTCCACTCATCTCTTTTGTGTTTGTGACACCAATTAATTGTAGGTCTGTCTGTTATTCCTCCATCGTCTTCTTGGTCTGCCTCGTGGTCTATGACGCTTTAGCTCCCTTGTGTATACAGTTTTTACCTCTCTGCCATATGAACATTCTCTCAGCCCTTTCAGTCTATACGCCCTCACGAAGCCAGTGATAAATGTCGATGTAAACATTATGATTTTCGTTGGTGCTTCTCTTTCTCTCTCTCTCTCTCTCTCTCTCTCTCTCACACACACACACACACACACACACACATACAAACACACCATTCTCCGCTGTCTGTATTATTTATTATGGGTCCAAAGACTTCTTTTCTCAGCATGCTGGAGCATTTGAAGTTTGAACCCAAGTACTTTTACGTTTCCCTTGGTTTGATTTTCATTGTATCAACTTGTATGTGGCCTGAGTTTATATCCTTTTCTCGTTTTGTTATTATCATGTATTTATTGCTTTACACCATAAGTTTTTAAAATGTATGAAATATTAAATTGCTAAAAGTACTGTCTGGACAAACATATACAAACAAAACTTCTTTATGTGTATATCCCAATTATAAACGTAAAATATTGAACAGGATATTTCAAATGCAACAACTATATATCCAATATTGCCGCTTCACATCAGATGATGTTTCTTTCAATAACCGCATTCCCAGTGCTTCTATTTCTTTACGTACTATTGCAGCCGTTCCATCTACATTCATGTATCATTACCGGCATAAACTGTGAACGTAAAACATCTTTCCTACCTTCCCATCATCAATGAAAGCTACCCCCTGCTCCTAGTAAATATACGACCATTACATTCCGCGTAAAATCGTGAAAATACCTGAAGACCCCCAGCCAGAATGGTCTGGCTGCAGATAACGGAGGAGTTGAGATGGTAGCGTTCTGGCTACATCGTTCGTGCCTACGTGTGGTGGCATGTCGTATAAACAGATTTCACTGTTTTAGAAGCGGAAAGTTGGGAAACTTGTGCACATCTTTCACGGTTTTTAGACGTAGGATCATTTGGTTGGAGTGGCGATGTTTGTATAAGAATCCTTTACTTCTGCTGCCGTGTGCATTTCGTAGATGTGTATAGATGAGCATCATGTGTGATTAAGTTGTGTTATTATTTGTCAGGTATACATTTTCAAACATTGTTGCTGTGGCAAGTGGCAGTGCTTTACTTTTTCTAAGTTAGTGTGATAGGTGTTATACTGAAGTATAACTACAGCTGGATTGTTAATGCTTAATGATTGTATGAGTTTTTTTTAATTTTGTGCACAGTCCTGTTTAAGGACAATGGAACCTAGGGTTCAAGTCCTTAAAAAAATATTGTCCCCAATAATTTTTAGGCGGACTGCACCCAACCCTACCCCCTTCCTACTGCCCCCAGAAGATTTTGCAAGGGCGCAAAGTGGTCCCCTAACCTTTTCTAGAAGTTTTCTATAAGTTTTTTTCCAGAAGTTCTCTAAAAGTTTTTTTTTTTTTTCGTTCGTAGATTTCGAAAAATGTCAAAAAGATAATCATATTTATTTGCTACACAGTGTATGCAGCATCCGTGGCTTAGGCGTTGCGAGTCCGACTTGTAATTCCAACGTACCGCGATCGAACCCACTCCGTGGAATTTTGTCGGTCGACCCAGCCCAAAATGGGTACCAGGATGTACGCCCAGGGGAAGTAAAGACGACCGGCTAATGCTGACCACATTACCAACCTAGTGCCGATTAGTCTGTAGAAATATGGGTTCTCATCCCATATGCCCAATGCGCCTAAAGGCGTGAAAAGGGATCTTTACTTTACACAGAGTATGATGATAATAACAATACTAATACAAATTATCAGATAGTTATATTTATAAAGAGACACATTATTATCATTACATACTTAAACAAGGCTTAAGGGATAACATAACACCCCCTAGGGTTTTTCACGTAGATTTAAGTCAACTGACGGCGCAGCCCGAGCAAATGTTTTGTTTCTTCTTCTTCTTCGCGTTCACCAGCTGTAAACTCCGGTGCAAAGTTTTGGTTAGTTGTCTAAATCTGGACTTTAGTCTTGTTCCAGAATCTGAGTGTTGCGTGCACATCCGTTTAACACATCTGACTTTAAAATCTAACCAAAGTATTTCAGGATCCTCGCCGGTGCACGCAATTCGTGCACTGCGCTAAGAGCCTTCGGACCTAAGCTTGAGCTAGAGGTAGAACGGACCACTTGTGGGTTACTACCCTTGTGCCATGATGTTGATCCGTTGAACAAACTTCTGGTCCAGTATTTTTAGTTTACGAGTCGTTTAACGTCCCTGGATATATCACACGAGCAAGGGCTATTTAAAAATCAGTGAAAGTTTATTTTTCTTTAGCTACTTATTTTTCCGGAAGGCTAGACGCTCGCCGCGGATCGTAAGGTCGTGGGTTCGCTCCCTGGCGGAGCCGGACTATTTTCATAAATGACCTTGGCTACCAGGTCGACCCAGCCTTGAATGGTTACCGGGTGCAGTCATGGAAAGTAAAGGTGGCAGGCGCGATGCTGACCACATCACCCATCTTGTGCCGATTGGTCTTCAAAAATATAGGTCTAGCCCCATATGCCCTATAGCCTAAAGGCGTGCAAAAGGGTCCCTTACTTCACTTTACTTTTTTACTTTTTTTTTTTCAAGCGAGATTAGCCCTCTCTTACCATTTGGTGACTCCATGTATTTGTAGGTGTGCTTGGATATCATCTCTCCACCGTGTTCTTAGTTTACCTGGGGGTCAACATTCATTCCAATCCCTTGTGTTTACTCTCTGCAGCCCTGTCATCTCCTAGTGAGATGTAATTTTTCCTTATATGAAGTCCTACTGTGGCTTTTGCCATTTCCGCAGCATAGCCCGGTCTAATGGCTGAACGCGGTTACAGTGACCTCTCCACGGGTGATCCTCATCCACATGGTGGCACTTTGTGTCATCGGGTGTTTATCGCTTGTGTGATGTCCTGATGGGGTAAAAAAAAGATAGATAGATAGATCCCTTGCATGTTAAATTAATGTATACAATTTTTTTAACGCTACGGACACAACATACATGAGGTGCTAATACTCGTTTTGGTGCAATTAACACGTTTTAGCCAACACACTTGGCACTAAGAAACCAGACCTCATTTTTAGCCGATACTGCTCCCAGTAGTTTGAAAGTGGTCGATTTTTTTGTTCTGTTTTCATAAAAAATGGATGACAGTCTGCTGCCGAATCGCCTGCAGCTGGGATAGAAACCGTCATATCGGCATTACGAAGCGCGTTCGCAACGCCTAAGCCACAGACACCAACAACCTGTGTTAATAGTTGCGTATCCTTTACAGGACGTTGCAGAACCAACGCTAGCAGCCCCTGGCTGTTGTGTGGTTTCTTTAGGAACTTTACGCCCAGTAGTTTGCCATTGCCCGTGGACGGTCGGCCCACTGACACCACTGTCGAAACCAACGCAAGGCGCATGACCCGCAGCTAGAATCGAACCTGTCACCTCGGCATTACGAAGCGTTCGCATCGACTTAGCCACAGAGGTGTTAAAAATACTATTACTTAAATTCCCGTCCCACTGAGTATTGTTGAAACTTAATTAGACTATGTTTGAATCAAAGCCAGTTTTAGACAATATAGGACCCCAAGGTATATAAAGTCCCGATGTCCCTAAAGTTGTTTTAGTGAATTTGGAAAAATACAAATACAGGACCATTGGCTTGAAAAAGATCCTTTACACTCATAAACTTCATTTAATTTTCGAGTAGTTTAACCCAGCCACTTAATTTAGATTAGTTTAACCTAACCATTTAATTTTGGAGTAGTTTAACCAAGCCACTTAATTTAGATTAGTTTAACCTAACCATTTAATTTTATAGTAGTTTAACCTGAATACAAATTATATGTAAGAATTAAAACAAACGAGGTTTGTGTAGTTTAATGTTTTATAGACGTTATTACATTTATGTCTGCAGTTCCATTCAGTGCGTTTTGCTAGAATTGAAATGTGCCGCCTTGCAGTAAACGTGTGGTGCTATTTAAACCCCTAAAAGTGCTTTCATTTCTCCGGGAGGAACATTCGCAAATCATCTTCGACGTTCGTATTCTCTAATGGTCATTTCACCATGGGCTGTTTACACAGCAGAGCCAAATGTGCTAGTAATAAGGAGGTTCTTGATTCCAACGGAACCCGGGAAAACTCAAAAGAGGTCGAGTTGTCCTTCTACAGTTTACAGTGCGAGAGGGATATCGGCCTGACACAGAAGCAAGTGTTTTCCTTTAGGCAGTCGTGGAAAGGAATCAAGCGGAGAATGGAAGATACCGGCGTGGAGATGTTTGTGAGGTAAGCCAGTGGGATATATGGAGAATGGGAGATTCTGGTGTAGAGATGTTTATGAGATAAGCCAGTTGGGCATAAGGAGAATGGGAGATTCTAGCGTGGGGTGTTTGTAATATAAAGAGTTTCACGCAGGAGTATACAATAGAATGTATATTGATTCTGAGATTTCTGTGGGTTAGGTGAGACGAATAAACCGAGAAAAGAAGATACGCGTAGAGATGTTTGTGGGCTTAAAAGGGAGATGGGCAAACTGAGAAAATATATGGTATCAGATAGTGGTGAAATGGACAGCTGCACACAAGTAGAAAATTAAAATACAAGTGCTGATATGTTTTTGATATAGGTAGTTAAACACAGTAGCAATGCAAAATACATGTGATTTGTGAAACAGAGACATCCACACAAAGAGAATAGGAGATATTAGTTCAGGGATGTTTGTAATATAGAGAGTTGCACCTAGAAAGAATGAAAGATGCAGGTCTGGGCTGTTTGTAATTGGGAGAGTTGAATACAAAGAGAATAGGAGAAATTAGTGCTGGAATGTTTGTGATATGGAGAGGTGAACACACAGAGAATGGAAGATATTAGTGCTGGAGTGTTTTGATATAGCGTTAAACCCACAAAGACTGATATACATTTGTGCTGGAATGTTTGTGATATGGAGAGTTGAACACACATTGAATGGAAGATATTAGTACTGGAATGTTTGTGATATGGAGAGTTGAACACACATTGAATGGAAGATATTACCGCTGGAGTGTTTTGATATAGCGTTAAACCCACAAAGACTGATAGACATTTGTGCTGGAATGTTTGTGATATGGAGAGTTGAACACACATTGAATGGAAGATATCAGTGCTGAAGTGTTTTGATATAGAGTTAAACTCACAAAGACTGATAGACATTTGTGCTGGAATGTTTGTGATATGAAGAGTTGAACACACAGAGAATGGAGTGCTGGAGTGTTTTGATACAGAGTTAAACCCACAAAGACTAATAGACATTTGTGCAGGAATGTTTGTGATATAGAGAGCTGAACTAACAGACATTAACTCACAGAAGTATTTTAGGATCCTCGCCGGCGCAACGGAGTTCGTGCACTGCGCTGAGAATCTTCAGACTCAGGCTTGAGTTAAAGTAGAACGGAGCACTTATTGGTTACACCCGTGTGCCATGATGTTGATGCGTTGAATTAACACAAACATAAACTCACAGGTAATGGAAAGTATTAGTGCTAGATTGTTTTTGATATATAGCTGCAAACAGAAAAGATAATATAGAAAGTCCAACATAAAAGAGAATGAAAGTCTCTTTCCCGCTGTCTCCTACTGTCTAAAGTTTTTTTCTTTTTTAAGTTTTCCACAAAAAGTTCAACCATGACTTCGACAAAGTATATGGTTCTTCCGTCATGATATAATCTGTTTCTTCTCTCTTTTTTTTTTTTAATGCTTCCTCTTTTTACTTCATCGACGTGTTGGGGGAGATGTAATGATCTTCTGTAATCTCTTTCCTGTGCGTTGTATAAGCTGGTCTTCATCTCATTCTTCACTCTCGTTCTTGATGCCATCGTTACATTTTTTCTACTATCTTCCCCTTGTGAAGTGTCCATTATATTTCTGAAGTGTGTCTTTCTTTGGCAGTTGGTACAAGGACATTCTCGTCACATAGCTAAACCATTACATCTGTTGCTTTTAAATAAACCCTATGACTGGTTTAAGACCAAGTCTTTTTTCTAATTTGCTAATTTTTAACTTGATCTCTTCTTGTTACACCGGCAGCTCTTCTAAGACATATAATATCTGTTGTAATGATTTTGCATTCAAGGGTCCAAGTTTGACATTAGCAGCATAAAAGCGGCCAAAAAATATGTTTTAATGTATATTCTGTTTAAAAGATGATAATCTTGTATTGTAAAATCAAACATGTGGTTGAACAATCTAATAATATGTCTTATTCTTCTCCTCTAGTCCTGTTCAGCCTTTTAGCGTCAGGTATTAAAGAGGCATCAGTTGTGCGCCTAGGTATGCACTACGTAAAAAAAAAAAGTAAAGGAACTTGTAGAGCATATAGGGCTAGACCTATATTTGTATAGACCAATCGGCACAAGATGCGTGATGTGGTCAGGATCACGCCGGCCGCCTTAACTTCCCGGGACTGCACCCGTTACCCACTCAAGACTGGGTCGACCTGGGAGCCAAGGTCATTTTTGAAAATTGTCCGCCAGGGAGCGAATCCATACGACTTCCATGCACTACGTAGATGCTGGTATTAGAGGTCTCCGATAATCCGTCTATCTATAGTTTGCGTGGTGGCCCTCTAGTTTTACGTTCATTATGGTTAAGTGAAAAGGCTCTCTGCCGTGTAATATCTACCGGTAGTCTTGGCACATGATCAAACCTTTTGATCTGTTGTCTGTTGGTGTAGTTTAGCACTGGTTACATCCCACCTTATGACCTAAAGTCGTCATTTCTGATCCTGTCTCTTCCACTTCAAATTCTGTTT